CAACGAGCCTCCCTTGTCCCACAGCATCCCCAGGACACAAGTGCCCTGCGCTCCTCTCGTCCCTGGCCACAGAAGTACACTGGAGCAGGGGGAGTTCCTTTGCTGCAACCCTCACCTATGTTTTTGGTTTGTTTATAGACGTCATGTCTCCAGGTCAGGTTTGCTGTTGTGCTTCCATATGCACAGCTGAACGCCGAGAGCTGCGCAGCTTTCACCACCTCTGCCCACCAGCTCTGCTCCAGCCCCACTCTTCAGCTGCCCCGGGAGCTCCACCAAGGGCTCTCCACCTCCCAAGCCTTTCGCTGTCGCAGGACCAGCCCCCAGTACCGTGTCTGTGTCCCTGGTCATTTATCCAGCCCCATTAGAGCCCACTGCAGCCGAGCCTTTTTCACACAGCACCTCTACCCAGGATGAGGGGCTGGAGCAAGGCTTCTGGTGTGACAGCAGCTTTGCTACCTGGAAGCAGGGCAGGGAAAATACCTGCCTCTTCCTTGCAGCTCTTACCCACGTGAAAGATTAGGGCCTATCTAGGAAAAACAGGAATACCCCTGCCCCACCCATTCAAGGTATCCCAGATTCCAGGCCACCAAGGGCTGCCTCAGGGCCACGCGGGGCTGGTGTTGCACAGCATGGCCAGGACAGCAGTGATGAGCAGGTACCTATGTGCACCCCTGTGCCACAGGCTGCCAAGGTTGAATGTGGGATCACGGATCACCAGGTCGGCTCTAACTGGACTCAGGAGTGCCCAAGTAAGTGCCTGAAGTGCTGCTCCATTTGTTGCTTCAAGAAATCTTCCCCTTTCTGTGAATCCCTTCTCCCTCCATCCCTTGGCTATACAGCAGCTATTTTATCTCTGCTGGAGGAATTAAAAGCTGGTTTCAACCAGCCCTCACCAGAGAGAGCAGAGATGGACTCGGCACTGCACCACAGATGGGAGAAGAAGGTATTGGTCCCAAGGCTACACTGTGGCTGCCAGCCCCGCAGCGATGGTTATCTGCTTGCTGACTGTCAGCAAAGCACAAGGAGGCCCTGAGGGACCAGGCACGCAGAGCCTGGGGCACTCGAGGAAGTTTCCTCCAAAGGAGGTGAAAGGAAAGGAAATAGCCTAGAAGTTGGCCAGATGATGTGACCTACACCCCTCAAAACTAGCAAGACACTTTTTCCAATGACTCCAGGCCCCCTTCCAAAATAAACCTAAACCTCTACACCTTGAAAATATTCCCCCTTCACATAATTTGTGGATGAGGCTGACATTTTCAGAGGGTTTTCCTTCAGCCCAGCAGGTGATCTGAAAGAGATCACCATGCACTGCCGACCTGTCAGGGCTGTGGAGGAGGTCAGGAGCAGGAGTGAGAGCCCCTGGCACATGAGCTACCATAGCTTTCAAACTCAGTCCCACCACAGGCTGGTGCCCCCTGTTATTTCACACCACTGCAAAGCCACTGTTGCCAGCAGCCTCCAGCTCACGAACAGGAAACTGGTTATTTGAACAGCTCCAGAAGGTTTCACTGCTACACCTTCAGCCCCACATCCTTCCTGGGCTGCCTTTCCCTCTCAGTTCACTTGACTGTAAGTCTTCCCTATCTGTGGGCTCTCTGTCACCCAAGGCTGTCTGGGTGCATGGGACACAACTTGTCATCCCCAGCTCCCCTCAAGGACAAGGGACCCATACAGCAAAGCACAGGGGTGTTCCATGATGGATTAATTGCTTGTTCATCCAACCTCTGGCTCCAGTTTTGTGAGCTCCACTGAATGGTGCTCCTGACCTCCTCTCAGCAGTAGTGCCTTTGCCAGGACAGGGACTGCAGTAACAGGCAAGTCCCCCTTTTTTGAACCCGTCTCTCCAGTTGGCTCCTGGACTACGCAGCTGTGGCTTTGATTTGTCCTGAGGGACACAGTAAGACCTTCTGGTGCTCTAGGACCTGCCCCACAACCACCACTGCTGCTATACCAAAGCAGACAGATCAAACAGTCAGGCTTCGTCCCAGGAGACAGAGCTGGTGCTGGTGGGTTGAGGCGAGGGGAACACAAAGAAAAGGGGATCAGCCTCAGAAGGAACCGATCAGGCTGAGGAGCTGTGCACACCCTGCTCTCCTAAATGCAAACCATGTCCTTGGTAATCCCATCCACCTCTCCCCTGCGCTCCTTCCCTCTATCAGGCCACCAGTGCACACAGCCCCCTTTCTGCTCTGGAATGTGTTCTCCGAAATTTAATCTCAGCACGGGGCTCAGGCCAAATCCCCCGACAGATTCGGCCCCGTGACAGCCCCTCCCACCACCGCGGAGCTCAGCAACTCTCCCCTCGCCTCATCCTCCCACCCAGCCTGGCCTAAACATTTCACTCCTGATTAATGTAGCAGTGACAAGCCAATAGCTCTAGCCAATAGCTCTTGGCTTTAAAGCAAAGCCAGCCCCCACTTTGCACAAACATCTTCACTTCTTCATTTTGTTAAGGCTTAGCCCCAAACTCCCCCTTGCTGGGAAGACGAAGCCCTTTCCACGCCTGGGGCTGTCACTGCCAGGGGATGGTGAGCTCATCTTCACACGCTTGCTCTACCAGAAACTGCACGGGTCTTTGGGAAGATCAGACTCTCCACTGCCTAAGCAAGGATGGCTCACACAGAGCCCCACTATCTCCAAGCAGGGCATAGGGGGCCGCCCTTTCTCAGATGCATCCAAATACAGCACTTTCTCTCTTTTGACCACAACATCTGGCCAAAACCAGGTGCCTATAAGAGAAGTTCCCTACTCTAAGACACCTCCTCACACACACACACACACACACACACACACACACGCCTCCTTGGTCTGTGGCCAATGCTAGAGGGCAGCAGTGAGGAGCACGTAAGCTCAGGGTTAGAAGCAAAGTCCCTTGCTCAGAGCTCTAGCTCACAAACAAAGGGGCTCTTTGCTGCCATGACACTGCAACATCACAGGAAGAGGACAAAGCCCTGGAAACGTAGAGCACGCAGTGGTAATGAATACAGCCTCCTGCCCCTTAAAGACAGAAACCTTGATACAAGTGCTGCTTTCAGATATGCTGCTGTCCTGTCCACTTCTGCACCCATCTTACCAAATGAGGCCAGCACAGTCTCTGCCTTCAACATCTCTATGGAACCGTTCTCCCACCATCCCTTTCCCTCACCTTGCCTTTTGGCAAGGGATCTTCCCAGTGGCACACGGAGGACCACCAGCCACTCCACGCAGGTGCTCAGGTGCACCTCCTCACCACAACCAGACTAACCTTGCCTCAGTGTGAGCGTGAAGGCAGGTACATTGGCTATGATGAACCCAGGGGCAACACAAAAAAGTGCAGGTCCCATCACAGCACAACAGGGCAAGGGCCTTCAATTCCTGTATGTCGGGAAGGCAGTAAAACTTAGCACGTGCTGGCCCAGCGCTGGCAACAGCCCTGCAGCAGACCAGGCAGTGGTTTGGCCATCAACACCAGCAGGTACTTTTTGCTAACCTCAATCAAGAAGTCAGCAAACCAGATGAAGCAGCATGACACTCAGGAAGTCAACCGTGCACACAAACCCCATCACTCAGTTATATCCTGGTCTTGCAAATACTGTCACTGCAGGGGGAGGACTGCTTGGGTCATGCTAGGCCACAGTATGACAGCCAGTCCACAATCAAAAATGATACAAAATGGCCTAAGCCAAAGGAGACCCCTCCTTGATGCCAGCGTGAACGAGTGAGCATGGATGCTGGGGAGGGACTCTTCGTTAGGGACTCTAGTGGTAGGACAAGGGGTAATGGGTTTAAACTTAAACAGAGAATGTTTAGATTGGATATAAGGAAGAAGTTCTTTACAGTGAGGGTGGTGAGGCACTGGAATGTGTTGCCCAGGGAAGTTGTGAATGCTCCAACCCTGGCAGTGTTCAAGGCCAGGTTGGACAGAGCCTTGGGTGACATAGTTTAGTGTGTGGTGTCCCTGCTCATGGCAGGGGAGTTGGAACAAAATGATCTTAAGGTCCTTTCCAACCCTAACTATTCTATGATTCTATGTATGAGTCTCTCAAGATGAGTGAGTGATGGTCCAAGCAATGCAGGGGATTAAAGAGGAAGAGAACTACTCACTAGCTAACGTGACGACTGCAGGAACGCTGGCAATGACTCCTTCAGGCACTCGAGCAATGCACTGGTATCGCCCCACAGTGTGGTTGTTGAGAGCTGCGATGACGAGCTTCCCCCGCTCAATGTGGATACCCAGCACTTTGTCCGATCCAGCCAGCTCCCTCCCGTTCAGCCTCCAAGTGAGGTTCACTCTGGGGGGGTCCACCACACACCCTAGGCTGACAGGACCCCCAAGTTTTTGGACAATGGAGGCAGGCTGCACTGTGACCTGCAGAGATTCACCTGCACAGAGGGGAAAAAAATGGGAGTTCAAAAGCTCAGTGAGACTCAGCAAAAGAAAGGACAGAGTTAAAAACCAGTGTACATTTTGCATTCCCCACTGCTTCTGCTTGTGCTGCACCTTCCCCTTCGTTCCCCACACATCCACCCTTGTGCTTGGAGATGCACACCAGCCCCACTTCTCAGTAGCACCGGACAGAGATGTCCAACTCTGACTGTATCCCCTCCTTTGGCGGAGTGTTTGAACCTAGACCTTTGGTCAAGGCTACTGAGGAAGCAGCGGAGACTGGAAAATGCTCTGTGCTTGAGGCATGGCTATGCTATGCAGCATCAAGGTAAAAGGTTCAAAAAATGAAGCAAATGGGTAACCCCAGAAACTCACTCAGTCTGGCAAAGCAGCTAGCGGCAGCGAGGATGAGGCAAGGGATGGCGGACATGGGTCTCTTCTTTCCACGTGTCATTGCTATCCCATGCAGTGTGTCCTGGGGTGCCCAGGGAAGGGTCCCATAAGCTGCCTCAGGAGATGCTGTGGATGTGTGGCAGCAGATTCCTGTGGATGACAAGAGACATGATGGATGAAACCCTCAGACTTCCCTCTGCTTTCCAGCCCTGCCTGGCTTCTCTACCAACATCCCTGAACTCCCAGTTCACCAAGCCAGCGGCCTGAGGAGGCTACAAACACTGGTGCAAGCACTTCTCTTCTCCAGCCTCTCCCCCAAGCATGGCTGTGAGTATCCCAAGACATTCCCATCCCCAGTTCTCAGTACAAATCTATGTGTGTGCACACAGATACATATTCCCCATTTCAGATGGGGTGCAGTGAATGCCTGTTCTGTGCCAGCAATGCACACCAGGCAATTTTCAGGATCAAAACACAAACATTTCCAACGCAGTATCACTGGAGATATTCACCAAGTTGCTGCCACTTCTTGGCTGTGCCTGGAACATATTCTAGCCTGAACACAGAAATTAATGAGCAGTACAAGTCTAAAGCTGTGTGAAAACAGAGGTGATCCTGCAGTTTCACAGCCTTTTCCTGGACACTGGCCATGTTGCTGCTGGGCATACCTGTGTTTCAATACAGATGGGACTCCTTAGGAGATGTAAAAGTTTTTCAGGACATCTCTGCAAGGAATTATTCTGAAGGGAAGGGGACACTTTTGCAGGAGAGAAGAAATGCCCAGTTCTAAATTTGTTTAAATTCAGTGCAGTGATCTGAGGGTGGATTACACTGATTTGGCATAATACACCTTTATAGTAAACCAAGAGACCCAACCTATGGAAAGATTTCAGATTAAATGTTCTGCCTGAAACACACTGCCTATTTTGAGTTGAGCTACCCTGTCTGGGCAAACCACCATGTTCATAGTCAAAAGCATCAACAGTGTCCACAGGTCTTGAAGCCCAAGACGTGTCCCAACCAAGGCTGATGTGGAGAGCTGCACCACAGCAGCTCTTGTGGAGATACTGTCATGAACGAACGCTAAACCACACAAGCCAGGTCAGGGGGGATTGAAGATCTAAGAGACACCTCAGACATCAGAATAAATTCAGCTTCAACTGAAGGCAAAGTCAAGAAGAGACCTCCCTCTGTGGACATTGTAACACAGCTACAGGATTTTGAGCTTCCTCCAGTTGCAGCACTAAGAAGATGACCTGCAAGTGCCAAAGTCATTTCAGAGCTGCTCCTGTGGCATGCCTACATTGGCAGAGAAGAAGCCCAAGACCAAACCAGCCATGACAGCCAGCCCAAACAGCAGTTATATTGCCTGCTCTCCCTGCAGATACACAGCTTATTAGCTGTAACCACCACCCTCAAGAGAACCTGGACTCTGTAGAGCAGTATTTCCTACTTCCACCAGAGTCACTGCTCAAGCAACCACCTGTTTGCTTTCCATAACCATCTCAGTCAAAAAGAGAGGACAAGTCCCTTCAAGCACAACTTCCAAAATAACTCACTCCTGAAGTAAGGATTGCCAGACTTGCCCTGAGATAATCAGCGAGTTGTTCAAGGCAAGGCTGGTTACTGCTAGCAACAAAGCACAACATCTGGGGAAATCTCACCAAGCTACTTCTAAATGACTTTGCTTGGCCTCTAGTGACAGCAAAGGTGCAAGAGTGCAATACAGGGCAATGTCCATGGCCAGCAGTGCTGAGCTCCACATCACAACAGCAAGAATCCAGCTTGCATGCCTCTCTCCAAATTGGGCTGTCCCTCCAACAGCCTCACAAGCTGTCCTCTTCCCCCCACCATGCCCCAGAGCACTGCTTGGGTGAGAAGTCATGGAGGAGATATTCATATAAAGTCAAAGAAAGGTAAGGAAAAGAAAAGCCTCCTCAGAGCTAGTGCTTTCAAAAGGAAGTAACATCAAGTAATGCAACCTGGAGCTGGAGCTTTGCAAATGCCACAAAAAGCATCTGTATGTGGCATTTTGCAGACCAATGTGAGCTCACTTGGCCGGCCTGCCCAGTGGGTTCAAGGCAGCTTTTTCCCAGGAGTCATGGTTAGCATAGCTCTGAGGCCAAGATGACAAGCTCTGCTGAGAGGCAGGTAAATTAGGCCAAGCTTAGCATGGCCCAAAGTGGCTTCCAGGTAGCCAGGAGCATGAACAGAGCTTGGCCTTTGGGCATCAGGCTGGGCACACTCTGAAGGCACCCAGAAAGATCAGCTAGGCTCATATTCTAGCTCCTGCTACCCACAGCCCTGTACATGTGAAAACCCTCTGTGGATAATCTTCAGTGCGAAAGCTACAAGACAGCAACTTCCCTCCCAAGCACCTCATCCTTCCTGGCATTCACTCTCCTCACCCAAGGAGAGAAGAGAATCTCAATAATTTATCTTTGAAGAGTTTCCCCTGTCAACCAGCACGTACTGTTGTACGAAATCCTTTAGCTATTGTCTTGGAGACCATCTGAGTTACTCAAGTTCACTTCTTTGTGTAAGACAGCCACCAAAGCACCCTTTGTTATGCCACAGCCATCTTGGGCAAACCACCACTGACCATGGCCATAGAAGTGCCCGAGGTCTGTCCGTACCAGACCATGCATTGCTGACACTGTTGCTGACGTGTGAGTTGATGTACCGCTCATCTAGAAAAGACTCTGAGTTAGTTTAGGCTTAAAAACACCTCACACCATAAGGGTCTACATTTTACACCAATGTAGAACAGTTTAGGGTAGGACTTCACATCTTGTTCCCCAGTGCTGGAAGCCCACAGAGCAAAGCTGACTCATTCCCCCTCTCTAGATGGTTTGGCAGCAAGAAGGAAAACTGTTGGATGGAAAAGAGCTGCTCCGTGGAGCCCATGCTGGGGGAGGGGGTAGACGGAGACGTTCCCAACCAGACCTCCCCGCAGCTCTGCGTTGCACAGCGCTTCTGGACAGAAGGGCAAAGCCAAGGGTGCAGAAACGTGTGATAGACCCTTCGTGAGCCTGGACCACCCAGGCACATTGATGAGACGACGAAACTGGCTGCCCCAGGTCTGTAAAAAGATGAAGAGCAATAGGTGGGGAGAAAAAAGGAGAGATCAGAAAATTTGGCCATGGCACTGGGCAGATTGAACAGTATTGAGCACAGACTGAGGAGAGAAGGTGTGCTGCAACAAGTGCATGGTACCTCCCAAACCTCCAGGCAGAGTATGAGCTCTAAACAGGGACATGTGGCCATTTCTTTCACAGCTGAGTGAAGTACAAAAAGTAAATGGCCAGCATAAAAATAATGAGGGAAATGAATGAAAACATCAATTCCAAAAGAACTATTAGGATCCAGGGCCAGATTTTGAAATTCTCAGCTTCCACTATTGAAGCCAGATTTTCAAAAGCATTCAGTTCTCGACATGCTGAACTCTTCTAAATAGGCAACCAACTTATTTCAATGTCTAAATGGGAACTGACCTCTTTTGAAAACACTGCCCTTCAGCAGCCTGCAGCAGTGCAAAGCAAGGAACTTTTATTAATCAAGCAGCTCTCGATCTGCCCAGTGTCCTGCAAGCACCACTGGAGCAGGCTGCAACAGGAGAGGTGGGGAACAGAGGAGGCTCCAGGCACTCCAGCTGCCTTCCCAGAGGCAGTGGTCCTGGACAAGGGGCTGCTGCATGACAGGGTCCTGCTCTGCTGCCTCCTCTCACCAAGGCAGGTTAGCTACAAGACGCCCCTTGTGCTGACACTTCTGCAGCCACTGACACCACCAGGGTCAACAGCTCCTGCTTATGTGGGAAAACAAAGAGTTAAAGTAATTTAAAGAGCTTCAAGGGGGGAAGGGAAAACAAAAATTATTTGTTTATTTATTTTTAATTCTTTCTTGCCAGGTTAAAATAACAATTTCCTGTCGGTGGAGCTCTCAGTCCCTTTCAGACAGCCCAGTAAATCAGCGGAGGGGCCATTAGGAGAACAAAATTAACGAGAGCTTCATCAGATAGGGAGGGGTGGTTGGGGTGTAAAATCTGTCGGCTCCGCTTCCCACCACACACCTCAGCCCACCGAGGCCCCCGTGCAGCCCCAGCACGATGGAGGGCACTGCAAATGCAGCGGGGCAGGGAAGAAAAACCAGAGGTGAAGATATAAAAGGGAAGAAAGGCTGCATGTGTGCAGGGGGGTGACAGAGCTCGAAAGGAAAAAGGGATCTGAATTAGGCACAGGCAGCGGGAGAGGTGTTTGCTGATTAGAAACTGAAGGTTTTACTGAGGAAATGCTGCTCACAGCCCCAAGCCCCCTCCTGCTTAACAAGGGCCGGCCAACCCTTGTTACTGCCACGCTGTCTGTAATTTACAAGGCTCCCAAATAGGAACCAGGCTCTGCCCCAGCTCTGGGGCAGTGTCCCTGCACCACACACGCCAGTGCAATGGGCAGGCTGCGGAGCAGCAGAGGCAGACTGGGAGAAGGTGAAAACTCACCAATGCACACGAGGATGCTTTGGGGTTCTGTCAGACAGCTGGACCCCGAGCACCAATTCCTGCAGGAGAGGAATAGTGGGAAGGGGAAGGGGCTGCTTTGCACTAAAGCAAAGGCTGCAGCAGCTCAGGCTCAGCTACCAGCTGGGGACACCCTGAGTGACTGGAGAATTCACTGCAGCTGGTCTCCATTTCTGACAGGTCACGTAGGGACAGTGATACTCCCAGTTCTCCGTTCTATACATTCAGAGTTAAGCTCCTCAGAAGCAGCAATGTCTTACACAGTGCAGTTAGCCAGTTTTACTTTTTGTAATCATTAGTTTTTAATACAAGACAGTATTTTTTTGTTGTTGTTCCATAGAGCTTAAAGCACTGAAAAAGAAAATGTAAGAGAGAAAAAAGCCACAATACCCTTTTGCTTTACAAATGCAGAAACTTGAGCACTAGAAGAGGAAGCCAACCTGGCCCAGGTTACACAGTAAAGCAGTAATGGGGCTGGAAGCTCTGTAACTGGGACCTGCATCCCATCAGGCAAGTCATTCTTGGATTCCAAATCTTTCTCACCATGTCTGAAAAAAGCCACCATACAACTTCATAACCTTCTAGCTGAAAAAACACTGCCCAGGTGACACACTTGAGCAGGTCACCTGCAAAGTCCCCA